CGTACCATCTGGCAGATTCTTTTTCCCATTTTTGCAGACTATTATTAAATAATTTTGCATAGCTGCACATCATAAAAATACACTTTAGCTTGCCTATTTTTCTTTTTACCAATCACAATCGTATTGGGCAGAGCTGAGCAAAGGATGCAGCAATGGCATCACCTCAAAATAGTGTCGGGTGGAATCATTTTAGTGGATCATTTCACAGGGAGGTGAAAATCAAAAACTGAAAAAATGCCTTAGTGCATGCTTGAAACCTCGGCAACACTTAAAACTTTCTGTGTGGTAGGCTGCTGCTCAGAGATTGAAGAGTAAAAGGGATTTTAAAAACGGTAACACATGGACAGCAGAAGGGGAAGAGGAAGCTGCACAAGATGTGCAGCCAATGGCAGACGTTTACCAGCAGTTAATTAATTATCTTTATGCAAATGAGGAGAAAGAGGAGTCACTGCTGCCTGACTTTAAATAAGCTCACTGGGGGATAATAAACAGCAGAATAAAACCCACTCGCACACATACGCTCTGGTGGACACGCACCTTGACCAGTTCGAAGGGGAAGCGTTCGTGGAAGATGCGGTTGATCCTGGCGCCGCCCGACAGCTCGGCCGTGTCGATCTGGTCCCCAGAACCCTCTATACACTTCTCAAAGTCCACAGAGAACTGCTGCACCATCCTGCAGGAAGCCAGAGACACACACACTTTTAACAAATGCATCTATCTGCATACGTGCCTGCCCGTCCGTACTCACTGGAGGAGAGCCTTGGTTTTACGAGACGGATCGTCAGGTCTGAAGTTTTTGTACTCTTCCACCTCCTTTTCTATGGAGAGCAGCTGACTCTGCAGCTTGGCCCGCAGAGCCGGCAGGGTGTCCCGGATGTGGTTGGTCAGTTGCTGTGCGGGTCAAAGGTCAGAGTAAAATCACTGGGAAATATGAGGTATTAAATTATAGGAATGGGCTTATAGCAGCCGTTTTACCTGATTGAGTATTTTCTGGAGGTAGGGAGTGCCCATGCGGTCGGCCAGGTGTCTATAAGCAGGATGGGAGAGAAAGAACTTCCTCTCAGCAGCCATAGCAGCATTAATGTCTTTCTTTCCGTCTATGTCCTTCTGGCTTCTGTTCACCACACCGATGTAACCTGGACACAACAGACAAGAGTCCAACAAACATTTACAACACAGATCGACAGAAAGCCGTCCAGCTCCTTTCATCACTTCCTCAGATATTTGAGAGCAGACTGGAAAACAGTCTGGTAATCTGTCTGGAAGATAATACAGTCTTCTATTAAAGCAAACTTGGATTGTTCTAGGCTGCTTTTTGAACTCTGTTTGAACAGCCAAGCCCAGAATGAACAGAATCCACCCGCTTCAGATGTGTTTAATAATATTTAGCTGTGTGAAACCACATTTTAAGAGACCCAGGACTGAGGGAAGACTACAGAGGGCGGTTGGATGGAGGAAAACGGGGTAAGAAAGAAGGAAACCTGAGCGAATTTCTAGACGTTTTTAAAGACAGAGAGAAAGAAAAGGGCGAAATAAGCAGGAGAGTTCAGGTCACAAGGATCCCATTTCACCTCTAGTTAAGTTCCCTCATGCATCACTCAGTTAAAAGCTGTTTCATGCTCCATAACTGAGGCAACTGTGAGCCAGCAGCCTTGTAAATTTGAACATCCACAGGATTAGACAGAGACTCAGGGAGAGAAAGAAGTGGGGGGAAGAAAAAAAAACATAGAAAAAACAAAGGACATGGAAAATATTCAAAAGCACATGCCTGGGTTCTAACCAAGTGCAAATGGAAAAGAAAAGCACCACATCAGCACATAGCAGTAAAGGGCAGCCCACAAGATACATGCAAGCTCTTTTCCAAGACAGTGTTTTTCTCTTTGCCCCCTCCTCCTCCTCCCCGCTTCTCCTTTCCAACTCTTCCTCTCTTCCACTTTTTTTTTTTTGTCTGGCTTTTGATTTCTTACTGCTTTCTTACACCCCCTCCGGCCGTCCTCCCCCTTCCCTCTACCCCGTTTTTTTTTTTTCTTCTCTCCTTTCTTTTTTCTTTTCCAGCTTTGCCTTTTTACCACAAGAGGGAAACAGTGTGTCACTGCGTTTACCCTGAAGTAGAGAAGAAGTAATGTTTGTAAGTGTGGTCCAAGTGTTACTAAGGTTAAAGCAAAACCCAGGAATGTAAATGATTCAGGTTTAAGGAGAAGATGTGTTTTAATGTTAAGGTTAAGGTTTGGGTTACAGTTAGGAAGTAGATGATGAACCAACCACACATGTGCACCTCCAAAAATAGTTTATATAACTGTGGCATCTGTTATTCTACAGTTCAGTTTAATCCAGGTAGTTTTCTTCTATTACAAAAAAGTCGCTCTATAGATGCATATTAAACCTCTGAGCCTCAAACCTCACAGGCCGGTTTGAAATGCATGTTGTCTTTTTTTAAAAATAACAAAATTACACAGCTTACAAGTCAGAAACTGTACGAACAAAAAGATCTGTCAGATTCTCAACTTTCCAATGGCCCCTGATTTATTCATCTGTGATGTTAAAATCATTCTACACGTCTCATTTAAAACTTTACCATGCATGAACCACTTGCTCAAACTAGATTCTGTAAAAAACAAAAAATGCTGTGTTCCTTGGAGCAAACATAAAGCCATTAGAGATTCAGCTACAACTAACAGTCACGTGGCAAAAATTGAGAGACTTTTTTCTGAACTGGGCTGAACTGCATATCCTGTTTACGCAGCAGATAGAAATAGATAGACAGCAGATTGGACAGAAGTATAGAAACTTTAAAATGCAATTTAAAAACGTAAATAGTAAAATATCCACAGCATGTAGAGCCTTTTTTCCAGGATTGGTAACACCTGTGGGCACTTGAAAAACATTGTACATGCTGATTTCAGATTTTTTTTCCCCCAATTTTGTAAAATAAATCATCAATATTCAACTTTCATTTTTCTCTGTTTTCATGATTTGTGCTCTTATTGTGGTGTTCCTGGTAGGAACACTATTATCTTTGTATGTTCACTTCCGGCTGTGCTGGGTGTAGGTGGCGTTTGCTATGTGTTTACAGGCTCAGGGGGCTCCGACCAGGTGATTACACACCTGCAGCCATTCAACAGTCAAGCGCTGGTTAAAGTCTGGCATCTCCTGCTTCCCAGTGCCAGAAGATTGAACTCCTCTCACAGGGTATCTAGGCCAGCTCTCAGCCGTAGAGTTTTGTAGTCTCAAGCTTTTCTATGCATCTCTGTGCGAGCACATTCCTAATTGTGTGTCTCGTCACCTCCACTGGATTCCCATCACGAGTTCCACCCGCTCAGCAGCAGCACACCACTCTGAGCAAAGCCGTCTTTCCCCTCACGAGCCGCGGCGCTGATTCCCTCGGATCCCCTCCCTCACCCGGCTACACTGTCTGCATCCCGAGCACCTGCACCTACTCCTCGCCTCACTTCCTGCATCAGCCTTCCCTGCTGGCTCACCCCCCTGCCTCTGGGCTCACCCGTCACTCTCCCTCACAACTATAACTCTATATATTATGCTGCACTTACTGTTTTTATTATTTTTGCTACCGCTAGCCATGACTGAATAAAAACATGACAAGGAGCAGAAGCTGCTTTGGGTTCAGAGGGTTAAAGGAAAGAGTAGATACACCTTGAAGATTTATGCAGCGGACTAAGTTTATTCTGTCAAGTTTTCTCATGTTTCCCACAATACAACACAAGCAGGGCTAGTTGAAGGTACATGGCACACATGAGCACTTGGAATTTTTTCCCATCTAAATTTTTTAAAGGTTCACAATGAACAACATGCAACAGAAGAGTTTACAGACGACAATAGAGTAAAGAATTATAGCATCTATAGTAAATAGTTTATACAATAGAATATTATAGATCCAAGACAGAACAGACATCCATCCATCCATCATCTATACACTGCTTAATCCTCACTTGGGGGCTGGAGTCTATCCCAGCTGACTCAGGGTGAAGGCAGGGGACACCCTGGACAGGTCACCAGTCTATCACAGGGCTACACTTAGAGACAGACAACCAAGCACACTCACATTCACACCTACAGACAATTTAGAATCACCAGTTAACCTCAACATGTTTTTGGACTGTGTGGGAGGAAGCCGGAGAACCCAGAGAGAACCCACGCTGCACGGGGAGAACATGCAAACTCCACGCAGAAAGATCCCAGGTGTCCTCACCGGGACACGAACAAACGACCTTCTAGCTGCAAGGCAACAGTGCTAACCACAGAGCCACCTTGCAGACCCACGGAACAGACAGAAGGGCGGAAACGAGATAAAAAGGCTCAATTACAAAGCTATCCGCTCCTTCAGCACCACGGACAGCACCGTGTATTTATTAATACTCAGTCCAGTTAAAGCAGCTTCAACTTGTCCTCAAGGATCTGCATGGAGATGGTGCTCAAGACTAATACTAGCTTTGAGGAGAGGAGATTCTTCATCATCCACACCTTCAAAAGTTTACAGCGCAATCTGTAACTAACAGCTAAATCCTATAAAAGGTGCAAAGTCACTGCCATCTTTTCAGATGCAATGCGACGGATTGACCTACTGCAGCCTGAACAGAACCATGTCTGCAGTGAACATTGATCTATGCACAGAGATGTGGAAACTATGAATCGGTCTTATGGCTATTTCAGGCGGCGCCATCGACTCAAACATGCACAAACCTCAGTCAGATACAAAATCAATGAGTCAGCTACTCTTGACTGAAATATGAAACTCTGCCCCGGTGTTCTCTTTGCTACTAGGGGATGGACGGAGGGGTGGCAGGTTAACAAGACGGGGGAATTTTGGAGAAAGAAGAGGAGGACGTCCTTCCCCAATCATCCCTAACTGGTGTTTGCCAAGTCGTAGTTAGAATTAAGGTTAGAGTTGGTCTCCAGGAAATGAATGTAAGTCAGGTGTATGTAGGTGTGTGTGTGCTCACCTCTCCTGAGTGGAAGCAGCTTGTTCTCCAGGATGTCTTTAGCATCCGTCCCCTCGTCCATTAAATCCAGCTTAGTGATCACACCAATAGTTCTCATACCTGCATCCACAAACACACGTTTTGAAATAATAATCACATTTAATCACATGCACCGCCTAATCCTACAAACTGAACCAAAAAATCATCAGAATATATTATTTAAAGCTCTTCATACTTGATGTAGAGCACAAAAAACACAACAATAATACAGATTTTATCAAAATAAAAGTACACAATAACTAGCAATTAGAATCAGAATAGTTTTTATTTGTCATTATGCACATGCTTCCATACACACAACGAAATTACAGTCGGAAGTCTCAGCTTTCAGCAGGCAGAGTGCCACTTTTCACAGTTATTGTAAAATATCCCTCTATTACAGGATTGTTGTTTCTGATGCATTCTGATGCCGAATTGTATTGTTGTGGCTTTAATTTGCTTCTTTAATAATAACCTTTATTTGTAGCTTACATTTCAAACCAAAGTGCCTCAGAAAAAGCAAAGTAGGCACACAAACACCCATCAAAGGAGAAATAATTGGGACAATACAAGCAGGAATTTGACCATGAGATGCCACAGAGAAAAACATTTTTTTTGGATGAAATTTAAAATCTGAGAAATAACCAGGACCTATTAAATAACTCTACAAACTAACAGATAACAAGTAAATTCTATATGCTCAAATTGAGAACATTTTACTGAATTAGTAGATGAATTTTGTGTTTGTGTTGTGTTTGTGTGTGTTTGTACGCCTGCACTCACCCTGAGGGTCGACCTCTTTGGCAATCTTCAGAGCGTCAGAGTTGGCCAGATCAGAGTTGGCCGGGGACACGGCCAGCATCAGGCAGTTCTCCTTGGTGACAAACTGCATCAGCATTTCTCTGATCTGAAACTCGATGTCCACAGGTTGGTCGCCCACCGCCACTTTGGTCATCCCCGGCAGGTCCACCAGCGTCAGGTTCAGCACTGTGACGAGAAAACGGAAGAGAGGAACTGAGAAACAAACTATGCAAACTAAGACGCCCTGTCGCCAAGAAAAAAGCTCAGTGGTGCAGAATTCATGGATGCCAGACGTGCACAATTTGCAAACTGGATTAAAATGAAATTAAATCAACATGTAAATCATCTGAAACTCTGGTGGGAATAGAGCTGCGTCAGCCTCACCGTGAGGAGAGTAGACCCGCAGGTTGATGGGCACCGGGGAGATGCCTTTATTGGCTCCGGTGATACGATCGGTCTCTGCCTCGATCTCCTGCCGCACCTCGTCAAAATCTATGAACTTCTTTCCCTTGCAGTGGAGGAACTCAGCATATTCTGTAAGACAGTAAATAAAATGGAAGGACATCAGGATAATAGGAGATATAAAGAAAGCAAGACAGTCGAGAGAAAAAGTAATGAGAAGTGAGCTCAATTTAACCCTTTTCACTT